GAGGGTGGGGGGAGGGCAGCAGAGGAGTGGGGTGGGGGGGAGAGGTGGTGGAGGAGGGAGGGGATGGGGCAGGGAGGGTGGAGGGGGAAGGACGGGGCAAGCGGAGCAGAGGAAGGGGGAACAGGCAGAAGAGCATGGGAGTCTGGGGAACGGGCAGCGGAGGAGAAGGGACGAGCGGCGGAGGTGGCGCATATTTTTGTTCTTTTCTTTCGTATTAAATTTTGGGAGAATGGGCGGGAGAGATGTAGGAGTGGAGAAGGGAGAGGGAGGGGCAGCGGAAGAGGGGGAGGAGGGGGCGGAGGGGTGTCGGAGGAGGACGGGAGGAGAGCAGAGGGGTTTGCGGAGGAGAGGAGGGGTGCGCAGGTGGAGGAGAGGAGCGGAGCGTGGAGGGGGGAGCGTGGGCTGAGGGGGTGCTTTTTTTTTATAATAATTAAAGCGGTTATAAAAAACATGTGAGGAGGAGAGGAGGGCGGAGGTGCGAGGGGAGGAGTGGTGGAGGAGGAGATGGGCTTTGGAGCTGGAGCACGGGCGGAGTGGAGGAGTGGAGGGCAGAGAGGGAGGGCACGCAGAGTGGCGGAAGGGCGGACGGGGGTGCACGGGGAGGAGGGAGCTGCACAGCATGGAGGGCGAAGTGGGTGCTGGTGGAGGAGAGGAGCGGTGTGCAGGCGGAGGAGAGGAGCGGAGCGCGGAGTGGGAAGTGTAGGCGTACGGGGCGCGGGTGTTTTTCTAATGAAAAGCGGTGTGCTTTTTCTTTCTGCCGTGCGGAGGAGAAGAGGGGGAAGGTGTGAGGGGAGGAGCATCAGAGGAGGAGAGGGGTGGCGCAGGAGCGGGGGAGAGGGGGATGAGCGGAGGGCGGAGAGGAAGCGCGGGCGGAGCGCAGAGTGAGGAGCACGGGCGGAGAGGGAGTGCAGGCGGTGGGGCGGCAGGGGGGAAGGGAGGTGCGCAGCGCCGAGAAGGGAGCGCGAGAGGAGGGGAGGAGAGGGGAGGCGCTGGCGGAGGAGAGGTGCAGAGGGGGGGGCGCTTCTTTTAATTAAAAGCGGGTATTTAGAAAGAAAGAACAAAAACGTGTGGCGGAGAGGGGGGAGGTGCAGCGGAAGGAGCGGCAGAGGAGGAGAGGGGTGGCGCAGGAGCAGGGAAGTAGCGTGGACTGGTGGGGGGAGAGCACAAGCGGAGGGAGGAGCACGGGCAGAGGGGGAGGCACGGACGGAGGGGGGAGCGCGGGTGGAGTGGGGAGTGCAGGTGGAAGGGGGGGGGAAGCCAGAGCGCAGGCGGAGTGGGGAGAAAGAGGGCAGCGCAGGCTGCGCTAGAGAGAGAGAGGGAGAGAGAGAGAGAGAGAGAGAGAGAGAGAGAGAGAGAGAGAGGGAGGTGCAGCGGGAGGAGCAGCAGAGGAGGAGAGGGGTGGCGCAGGAGCAGGGAAGTAGCGTGGACTGGTGGGGGGAGAGCGCGGGTGGAGGGAGGAGCACGGGCAGAGGGGGAGACACGGAGGGAGGGGGGAGCGCGG